TTTTTTTTTTTTTGGAAACAACAGTAAAAATCATTCTTCCCCGGAATAAAAGTTACCTTGCACAAGTTGTCTTCTGGTGGCGGAGCCTTATAAAGATCTAAACCTGATGATAGAAAGAATGGAAAACAGGTGAAAGATTGTGAACAAAACAATAATGAAAAAGATGGGAGATATGGTTTTCTTCACAAAAAGAAGAAGCGGAGGACAACCATTATATAATAGCTTTTTTTTCGGGGATACTTAATAACAGTTATTAAAGACGTTATGTTTTCCGTAATTCATTAGTACCATTCACCGTTTTACACAGTCAAATATCAAATTCCAATTATGTTTTGGTAAAGTTGAAGAAGAGAATACGTTGTTGACTTAAATTTTCTCTTCAGTTACCAAATCTCAAAATTCATTTACCACACTTAACTAACAGTATTCTTTTCTATTTCGTCATCCGTCATTCATCAATATTTACAAGGAAAAAACTTTTTTTTTTGTTTGTTTAATTTGCAGGTAATGAATTTAAAAAATTTTTTGCTTGTTAAAGGATAAAATAAAGAAAAAAATAGGGTTGAGAAAAAAGGAATTAAATTTTTTTTAAATGTCAACATTAGTAAATCCTTTTTTTTCCATTTTTTGGTGAGTCTATGGGGGAAAGATATAAACAGGAGAAAAAAAATTATTTTTTTTTCATCAATGTTCAAACTTAAAGTTTTTTTATTTTTTGATATGTTTTTATGTATTTTTTTTGTCGTGTAGTATTTTTTTTTCCTTACATACTTGTACATATATATGTATTTTATATGGTCATCATCACCATCACCATCACCATCACCATCATCATCCAAAGCCAGCATAAATAGCAGAAAACAACCTTTTTTTTTCTATTTTTGCTGACTAAGACACCTATTTTTCCTTCTTTTTTATTTTTTTGGCATGTTCAGTCAAAGACATTTGTAACAAAACAGCTAACATCCTCCTACACGTCAAAACATTTATTGTTCGACAAAATTTTCAATGGAAAAGAAATGAACCGAGTAAAGAAATCATCATCATCACCATCATTTTTTTTTTCTTCTTTTTCACACTTTTCTCTCCACCTCGTTGAACAGAGAAAACTAAAAATATTTTTTTTTTG